GAAAAAAATTTTTTTCTAGGCAAAATTACCAAACGAACACAGAGAAGTAACAAATTGGTGGGATTGAAAAAAAAAAGAGAGAAGAAAAAGAAGATGGAAACGAGAAGTGGCAAATCAAACTACAGCTTAGCAGATTTGATGGCAGCAACACAAGAACAGCAAAAGATACAGGAAGAACGAGAAAATGAACGAGAAAAGAAACAAGAAGGGAAATTACAGCAGTTGTTGGAGGAAAAAGAAAAGAAACAAGAATAGAGACAACAGCAGTGGCAAGAAAACCTGCAACAGTGGCAGCTCGAACAACAAAATAAACAAGAAAGATTACAGCAGTTGTTGGAGGAAAAAGAAAGAAACAACAAGAGAGACAACAGCAGTGGCAAAAACTTGCAAAAGTGGCAGCTCGAACAGCAAAATATGCAAAAGAGATTGCAACATCTGTTGGAAGAAAAAGAAAAGAAACAAGAAGAACGAAAACATAAACAAGAAGAGAGACTACAGCAGTGGCAACTGGAACAAGAAGGGAAACAAGAAGTACAAATGGAAAACATTAGTAAATTTCAAAGCAAATTAAATACATTAAAGGATGATTTATTGTCTTTTACACAAGGAGGATACACTAACCATCGACCTAATCAGCCTCAGGCAATGGGATGCCCCTTCCAGACCCCGCAGCTAAACCCTATGGTTTATTCTTTCTGAATACAACTTTACGATACACTTATTTTCAACAGTTGCTCTATAACAATCGCTATATCAACGAACGTCAACAATACTTCTGACTTCAGTTCAATTACTCACTATCTACACACACATTATTTCGTCACGTTGTCACCCTCTTTTATATACCAGACTACCCTATATCTAGTAAATGCTAGAGCATTCGCCAAGGTACAGGATAGTTCTAGAAAGCAGAGAGCGTGAGAATAGTCACGTGACCCTCTGACGCAACACTGCCCCCCCCTTAGTATTGTTCGTCCCGAACAATAACCACATACAAGAAACCAATAACAATAACTTAATTAAATGTAAAGAATTACAAACACAAAATTAAAATTCAACAAAGTCTCTTAATTTTACGGGACGTATCTTCTTCCATACTGGTCTCCGTCTTGTTGGCTTCTGCTTCATGTGGAGTTCATCTGCATCATCAGGAAATGTCCTATCCTCAGTAACAGTCACATCAGTGGTAGTAACTTCATCAAGAGTTTCACCATTTCCCTTCTCAAAATTGAGTAGAGTTTCTTCTTCGACGGTGGCTTCTTCATGTGGCACGTCTTCAGCAGCGTCATTTGTTCTGTTTTCCACTTCGTCCCAACTGAAATGTCCTGGACCGTGAGAACGCCAAAGCCTGTTGGCATGCACCACTTTTGGCTTACCTCGCTGACCACATTTTACCTGGAAAGTCACGTCTGAGTGACGATCCACTATGTCATATGGGCCTTCCCATGGAGAAAACAACTTAGGAGACTTTCCTTTAGTCTTCCTGGGATTATACAACCACACCTTGTCTCCTGGTACAAAGCTGACTTCAGTAGATCTCTTATCATAAGTTAATTTCATCGAATCAGCAGACGTTTTCAAGTTTGAACGCACTTGATGGTGAATAGCATCCATCCTTTCCGATAACACTTTCACAAACTCTGACACATTCTCAGGCACCTCTTCACAAGGTGGGCATCCATTATGCTTGGGTCCCCTTTTTGCACTACATGTACTGCATGTCAGGCACCATTCTTCCACATCTCGCCTCATACCTATCCAATAAAATCTTTGTCGTAGGTGACTCAATGTCTTCTTAATTCCGAGATGTTTTCCTGTTAAATTATCATGGGATTGATGCAGCACAACTTCCCGTAACTTCCTCGGTATAACTGTTTGCCAAGTCGTCACTTTCCCATCTCCGGACAAGAATACCTTTTTCAAGCTTCAACTGCTCCCATTGTGCCCAATAGTGCTTTGTCACAGGCCTTAGACTAGACACCTTCTCCCAAGCAGGGCGCAAAACACTTGCTTTTAGGAGATCAATCATTGGCTTCAAATCTTGGTCTTTCTCCTGTTCTGCCTTGATATCGATACTTGGTTCCACTTCGTCATCATCAACTTTTTCAGTCGGCTTGACTTCAGCTTGATGACACCTAATTAGTTCAACCTCTCTCTTAACAGTTACTGGAACTTGGCCTTTGTTGTTCCCAAACGTCATTTTTTCAAAATCAATTACAAACTTTCTTGGTAGTGGATAGTCCAATCCTAATATGCATTCATCTTCAATGTCAGCCAAGTATACTTTCTGTCTGTCCTTTGTGTCTATGAGCTCAATAGTTACCCACACTGGTCCCCACAACCTTGTAGAATGTCCTGTCACACCATAAAGCTTCTCTATGGCTTCCGGTACT